TATATTGATTGATGAAGTAGTTAATAGTTTATAGTTATCTATTAATATAACTTTAACATTGTTATAGTTATTTGTAAATATTATATTTTTTGTTGTTGATTGACATTCAATACTTATGGATACATATTGATTATAATTGATCCAACTTTCCGATAATATATCAATCGATGCATTAGTTTTGATAATTATTTTGTGATTATTTTCAACATTATATTTTTGTTGTCGTGAAAATTCACATATTATTTGGTAATTATTTTTCAAATAGTTTTTATCAATTAAACCAATAATTTTTGTTATATTACTATAATAATTATATGCTGAATAAATTGATAATATATTATTACCGACAATTGGTGTCCAATTATTATTATTAATTGATTGATTGATGAAATTTTCCGTAAATTTTTTATTATTATTATTATTATTATTAATTGATTTAAGTTTTACAATAGGTTTATACGGTTTGGTTGTCGCATAACAAACTAAATCAAAAAATATTGTTAAACTAAACAAACAACTAATGAAAATAATTGATGTAATAATTATTAGAAATTTTCGTAATTTTCGTAAACTTCTAATATGTAAAAGTTTTTTCATTGAAAATAGTTTCATATTTTTTATTAAAAAATATTATTTAAATTAGAGAAAACAAAACAATTAATTATTAATTTAAAAAACACTAATTAATAAAAATTAATACATTTTTTTGTTTGATATTATTATTACTAAATTAATATTTTTAAAACAATATATATATATATAATATATTATAAGTTAGTATTAAATTAGATCAACAATTGATAATCATATTTGGTTTTATTAAACTAAAATAATTTAATAAATAATATTAAATTTTTTTTTTGATTATTTTATTATTTTAACTTGGTAACTATTTAATAAAATTAGACTAAAAATAATAACTATTCAAAAAAATAACAATAACACATTATTATTATTATTATTATTAAATTTTAGTTGTCATAACATATACAAAATAAAGCAATATATCAAATATTTTTATTATTATACAATAGATTAAATAACTAATGGTTACACACAGTTTGTAATGTAATTTTAGTAATAAATTGTGTTTCATATACTGTATAATACAATAACTTAATCTTTTTTTTATATGTTTACATAATGATAAAAAATTGATAATTTTACTAATAAACAATATTATTATTATTATTATAATAGCATAAATATTTTTTATAATAATAATAATAATAATTTATATTAATAAAATAGTTTAACAAAAATTAATTAATAAAGTTAACAATAATTTAAACATTCATAAAAAAATATATTTAAATTAAATAATAATAATAATAAATAAACGCCTAATTAAATACATGATATTTTCTGCATCATAACTATTATGTTATGTTATATTTTATTATTATTATTATTTATCTGATTGTAACTTCAATTGTTCGATACTGTAGTACTGTATATAGTTTTAATGTAAAAATTATATTTCATATAACAATAATAATAATAATAATACTATAAATGTTATGATTTATATTTGGAAAAATTTGCTAAACATTATTAATAACAATAATAAAAAAATAAAGTATTAAATTACTTACTAATAATATATAAAAAAAATTATATTTAAAATTATGTGAAATAGTAATAATAATATAATTTATTATTACAAAAAAAAACAATTATTAATATATACTGTATTTATAATAATGTAATTTATTTCTATTTATAATTTTGTGTTGTATTTTTATATATCAATATGTACTATAATAATAAAGCATTATTATTATTATTTAAAATTATAAATTTTTATTTTATTTAAATAAAATTAAGTAATCTAGGTGAAAGGAAGTTACCACATAAATATATATATTATACAAAAATTAATTACAATAATTGATTACAAATATGATAATAATAATAATAAACAATAACAACAAAAATAAAAAACAATTTGTAGTCAAACAACATTTCGCAACCAATTATCAATAGTTTAGGATATTTTTTGTGTGTAATTATTTATAAATATTATATTTAGTTTAAAATTATAAATAATTTAATATATATATATATATATAATATCTAAGTTTAATCAATTTTATTTAGAAATATATATATCTATATAATAATTTATAAATTTGTATAATATATTTTATAATGTTTATTAAAAAAATAAAATATTAGTATAAATAAAATCTGTAAATAAAAATAATTTTTTTTGTAAAAATACTTTAATTATATATGTGAAAGTTTTATAATTGTTATGTTATTTAAAGCAGTAATAAATAAATAGATTTAAAAAAAACAATTTTTTTCAAAAAATTTTATTTGTTTTTTTATTTTGTTTTTATATTTTACATGAAAATCAAGTTTCTAATAGTTTTTGATATTAAAAACTATTTTTAACATAAGATTTTTTTTTATGTATAATAACATTTAATATAATTAATAATAATAGATATTAATATGCATTTATCATTGTTATATTTATTTATTTATTTTGACTTAAATAATACAAAATATAATAATTAGTATCTAATGTTTTTTTTGAACGAGATTAAAAATATCAATCATAATTAATATACAATTAACATTTAGTAAATATAATAATTAATTCAATATTATGATGCAATTTATTTAAATATTTTATAATAATAATTATTATTATTATTAAGTTATTTGCTTTCAATGATAATATTAATAGTTATACTAATAATCAAATGACAACTTATTGCCTCAAGATTTGTGAACCAAATAAATGTTTTCAAATAAATAAATTTCAAAACTATTATATAAAACTACTTTTAATAAACACTTTTTATTGTTTATTTATTTATTATTTAGTATTATTATTATTATAATAAAATATATTTAAAATAATAATTTTTATTGTTGTTATATTATACAACAATAAATTATTATTTTCTATTTAAAAACAATTAGCAAATAAATATAAACAAAATACACAAACAATTATCAAACAATAAAATAGTGCAAAAAAAATATTAATATATATTATATTGCTATTAGAAAACAATAAATCTTTTTATTTTTTATTTAAAATTTAATATAATTGTATTATATCTATTGAAAAAAATATTAATACAATTATGTTTATTATTATTATTAATCACATTTTTCAAGTTCATTTAGTTTTAAAAAAAATTCAAAAAATTTAAATAATATGTTACATTGTTTTATTAAAAAATTTAATATTTTACTAATTTTCTAATATATATATTTAAAATAATAATTATATTTATTTAAATTTTTTAATGTATGTCATTTAGTTTAGTTATTTTACAGTTTAATCTGAATATTAACTTTTTATTATTGAATTTTTACTTTCAAAAAATAACATATAATTTTTAAATTTTTAAATTTTTAAATAGTTTACAAGTTTACCATTGATACAGAATTTAGATAAATTATTTACACTAAACTAATAGTGATTTTCCCCACAAAAAAATAATAATAAATTAAATTAAATAAATAAATATATTTGTAATATTGATAAGCATTTAGCTATTAAAACAAAAAAAACAAATATTTTTTTTGATTTAAATTATATGGTCCTAATTTTTATTTTAAATAAAATAATAAATTTAATTATTTAAAAGATATTGAAAATTAATATTAAATTAGTATTAATATTATTAATATTTTTATACATTGATAACATGTATGTGTGTGTGTGTGTGTTTGAATTGACATTAAATAACTTATTAAATCATATTAAATGTGTTAATAGTAATAACAAACAAATAAAAAAAACAAAAAATAAATTTTTTAAAAATTTAAAATATTAATAAAAAAAACCTCAAATTGCTTCAAATGGTATTTTATAAGATCGTTAAAAAATTATATATTACAGTAAAAATATGTAATATATATACTGTATATATAATATAATATAATACTAATAAATATAAATTTAAATCATTTTAGAAATATTTGGCAAATTATTAAGTATTTTGAATCAATTAAATGCAATTAATTATTATTTATATTATATATATATATATATATATATACATAACTTGTGGTATGCATTAAATATTACTGTATATTATATGCATAAAAAACTGTATTAATCAGAAAATCAAAAAATAAATAAAAAAACAAACAAAAAAATAAAATTAAAAATAAATTTATTTTATATGTCACGGCATGAATGTGCCGATTCTGTAAACGATAGGTGGGTACTGACTAACTGACTGGGCTATAGCTATAGCTAACTGAGTCCAGACCTATGATAGAGAGAGAGAGAGAGAGAGAGAGAGAGAGAGAGAGAGAGAGAGAGTCCATATTATAATACAGTTTCTCTCATATCATATAAGACAAGGCTATTCAGGAAAGGGTTTGAATTATATATACATAAAAAAAGAGTTTTTTATTGTTTTTTTTGTTTTGTTTTTTTCTGTTCAATAAGTAAAACCTGTTGGGAGAGTAAAAGTGCTACACTTTTTTGTTTTATTATTATTAGTACCCGTTTATTATACTGTAATATATATATATATATATATATATTATTATATTATCACTGCCAGCCAACATGATTGTACAGTTTTACAAGTATTATTACATAGTATTACCAAACTAAGAGATCATACAGTTATATATATATAACTATATAGTTTTTGGTCAGGTATCTGGAAAGTGCTCAAACAGTTATACATAGTTATATATATATATATATATCCATTGGATATCTACAGTGATTACTACAGTATACATACTTGTTTGTACATAATAATTGGAGCACCTGTATGTGAAAGTGTCTATAACTTGTAAAAAAATTTTGTGTACTAAACTAATGGCTTTATTAACTTAATATTTAATAAAGTGTTAGTGTGTGTGTGTGTGTGGGCACTGGTAGCTGTGAAAAAAAATCCCCATAACTTATTTATTGTGTGTGTGTGTGTGTGTGTGTGTGTGTGTGTGTCTATGTGTGAATGTTTGATCCCTGACCTTTGACCTATCCATCCATCCATCCATCACAAACAATGGTTGTACCGCCGCCAATGGTGCCGAGTCTGATCCTGCAGATGATGACCGTAGCCATGATATCCATTGACAGGCAAATAGTCTACAATAAGATACTGGAGCGCAACACACATCTCCACGATTATGACTATATTGTTGTGGGTGCCGGTGCTTCCGGAGCTGTAGTAGCCAATCGGCTAACTGAGGATCAGTCAGTTCGGGTACTGTTGCTCGAAGCCGGAGGTCCGCAGACAGTAGTTACCGATATACCTGGCCTTAGTGAACGACTAGTCGACGATCCGCAATACGACTGGCGCTATCGGACGGTACCACAGATACACTTTACCAACTCACCGATGGACGCCAACTTAGGTAAGGCTATCGGCGGATCGTCCACTATCAACGGTATGCTATACAATCGGGGCAATCGCCGTGACTTTGATAACTGGCGTGACCAGTACGGTGCCCGCGGCTGGTCATACGATGAACTATTGCCGTATTTCATTAAATCCGAAAATAATACCGACGGGAAACTGGTCAGCGAAAATCGTGAATTTCACGGTACTAGCGGACCGATAGCTATATCGACAGATCCCGATCCTCATCCCATGTTATTACTGCATAATAAGGTACTGAATGATTTGGGTATACCTACCTTGGATGTCAATGGGGACAGACAATTGGGTACAACCCTAAGTCAATCGTTTCTGGCCGATGGCCTACGATCTAGTACTGCCAACGCCTATATAGATCCCAATCCTCACGAAGATAATGTATGCATAGATATTAATAATAATAATAATAATAATTTATGATAATTACCAACTAATTTATATATAAATTTTATTTCCTGTAATATTAATACTATTATTATTATAATCATTAGATGCATATCATTACCAGTGCATTGGTTACTAAAATATTGTTTGACGATAAGTCACACCCGATACGGGCCATTGGTGTCCAGTTTGAGCACAAGGAGGCCAGTCATACTGTCTATGCCAAAAAAGAGGTCATACTATGTGCAGGTATGATATATACAGTAAATATATATTATAATAATCAGTCAAACAAGCAAACAAAAATCAAATAAATTTATTTATAGACAGAAAAAAAACAATTTATGCTAATAAACAAAACAAAAAAAAAGTTATTAACAGAAAAAAATAATTTTTTTCTGAATAAAACTATTAGTAATTAACTGTTTTATCTAATATATAGTAATAATATTAATAATATATTATTAGTATTTATTTTTTTAGGAAATAAAGTTTATTTTTTTTTTATTAAATTAACATATATTATTAATGTTTAGTTTTCTTTATACATAGAAACTATGATAATAAACATTACATAAATAAAGCGATAATTTATAAAAATAATTAAATAAGTTTTACTATAATATCTTATAAAAAATTATACAATTTAAACAAAAAATAATAATAATAAATAACTAAATTATTAGATATAAAAAAATCAATATGCTACTGGGTCATTTTAAAAAAAAAATATATTGTTAGTTAGTTAGTTAGTTGTATGTTAACTTTATATATTTACAGTATATTAATTATACTGGTAAAACTATACAGTTAATTTGAAAAAAATGACCAAGATCAATATTGTTAACTAAACAATATTGACATTGATCATTTTTTAAAATAAAAAAAAATTATCGATACAGGTTGACCAGATAATAACTGATAAAACCCTATATAAAAAACAACACAAAAAATTGTCGCACAGGTGCACACAATTATATACACAATACAAACATATAGACAAAAACAAACTCAAAAAACTAATGCTAACCTAATCACACACATACAGGTGCCGTACGTTCACCACAGTTGCTAATGCTTAGCGGTATCGGACCGGCCGATCATTTGGAAAAATTTCACATACCAGTGCTCCAGGATCTGCCCGTAGGCGACAATCTACAAGATCATCCAGCAGTTACCATACATACCCTAATCAAAGATGCTGCCAACAATGGTCTGGCCAATAGGCCGGCACTGTTGAACACACAGGAACTGTACGAGTTGTTTGTCAAACGTGGCGGACCGCTGGCCTACGCTACCGATACCCTGAGCTACTTTAGTTCAACCAATAATTCCGATCCTCAGTGGCCAAACATTTTCTACTATACAAAAGTACAGTACATTCAAAATTTGAATGTTATTTCCAGCGAACATCCGACTTCACAGGTAGGTGTAGGTGTGTGTGTGTGTGTGTATGTGTGTGTGTGTGTGTGTGTGTGTATGTGTGTATATGTGTGTGTATATGTATGTATGTGTGTATAAGTGTGTATATGTATATAAATGTGTGTATGTATGTGTATATTTATGTATGTATATCTAATTTTAATCTAGATAATTTTTTTTAAATTGAAACAAATATATTTTAGTAAAATATAAAACTAGCTTGATAAGTTAGTACTAAATTGTTTTTTTTTATTAAAAACATGAACTTTAAAATTACTATAGATTATAAACTAGTTTCTAGAATAATGTTAGAGTGGGTGAGTTAGAGTGAGTGAGTTACAGTGGGTGAGTTAGAGTGGGTGTGTTAGAGTGGGTGAATTAGATTGGGTGGGATAGAGTGAGTGATTAAGGGTGGGTGAGTTACATTGGGTGAGTTATATCTATTATATTAAATGTATTTTTTTATTAAATATAAATATAACTAAATTATTAATAAACTAATTGTTTTCTTTATCATTATCTTTGGGCACCTGTAGCTGGAATGGCAGGAATACTATCGACCCTATCTGAATCAATATCTATTTCAAATTGGTCCACACCTGTACCGGTGCCGATCGTACGGCTCGATACGTTTGCAGTCGACTGATCCGAAAGTACAGCCCCTAATCGACCCGAACTTTCTGGCCCATCCACAGGACAGGGAGGATTTCATTGAAGTCATCCGATTTGCCCTATGGATGGTCGAGGAGTCCAAACTGGCCCAGTATTTGACTCAGTTGGCACCGGTACTCGGCTGCCGCTACTGTAAGGATAGGCCACAATGGAAATGCGATTCCTATATCCAGTGTCTGATGGTTAAGACCGGTAAGACTGGCTATCATTTGACTGGCGGTAATCGTATGGGTGATCCTCGACGTAAGGATACAGTATTGGATCCGGACTTACGGGTTAAACATGTCCAGGGGTTACGTGTTTGCGATGCATCCGTTATGCCCGAGATTATCAATGCCAATACCTATGCAATATCGGTAGCAATTGGCGAAAAATGTGCCGATTTATTGAAACAACAACAACACAATCATTGACTATAATAATGATAATTATTATTATTAAATTAATTTTAATTAAGTTTATTAAACTATTAAAAAAAATTATATATATATTTAACTGTATTTTATTTGCAATTTTTTATTTAAAAAATTAAATTATATTAATGATGACTACATCAACAAAATCAATGATTATATAGTAATTATTATTATTATTATTGTTAATGTTATTCAATTAAATTTATGGATATATATATATATATAAATTATTATTAAATTATATATAAAACAATTTTTTATTACAAATTAATTAATTGTGTTTATAATAGATATATATATTTTTATATGTATAATACAAAACAAATTACACAATTTATTATTTAAATTATTTTATCTTACCTAATATAACATGTTATACATTAAGCAATAGCAATTAATATAATAATGTCAAAAAATAATAAAAATATAATTTATTAAATTTATAATTTGTAATTATTAACCAATAAAAAATTTAAAAAAAACAAAAAAATAATTTGCCAATCGATACTTCAAATATATACTTAACAATTGTAATGATTTATTTAGAAATAAATCCCGTAATTAATCAATTGTTGCAATAATTATATCAAACATTATAATAATTTGTAATCAATTGTAATAATTTTAATAGTTTATAAATAATAGTTTAATTTGTTATTTTTGAATAAAATCACTAATAATATTATTTAAATTATTGATAAAATTATAATTAGAATTAATAGAATATATTTTTTTAATAATTATTTACAAAGATGTATATTTAAATTTTATTTTTTTTAAAAAAAAATATTATGCATTAATAATTATGAATTTTTAGCAAAAAAAAATAAAATAGATAAAAAAAAGTTAATTAAAATAATTAGTAAGTTATAGAATTTATTGTATAAAAAAAAATATTAAATTAATTAAATAATAATTTAGGTCATAATTTTTAAATCATCAGTTTTTACAACTATCCGATCGATAGCCCATTCACTGTACTGATTAATAATCTAAGCACAGGTAGGTCTGTCATCATTTATATATAGAAGTAAATTCTGTTTTCTATAATTTCCATTAAATTATTGAACAACTGAAATATATTTAGATTTAACATTATTTATTATTTAAATTAGTTAGCTTATATAATATTTATTATAAGCTTTAAATTTAGACTTTAGATTTGGATTAAAAATAAAAAATAAGGTATTAGTGAATCAGCATTAAAATTATGATATTTATTAAAATTTGTATTATTATTATTAATTAATGACAACTTATTTAATATATTTAATAATAATAATAATAATAATAATAATATGGTGTTCTTCAAGTAATTAAACAATAAATAATTAACGTTATTAATAATTAATAAATAGTAGTTTATATTAGTATAACAATAATATAAACATAAGTAGTGTAATAATTATATTAAAAAAATCTAAATAATTCAATTAGAAATGCAATGAAAACTGAGTAATTGAATACATAATAAAAAAATCGTAAAAGAAAAAAAATTGAAAATAAATAATAAGTAAAAATAAAATAATAATAAATAATAAAAAAATATAAAAATTATGTAAGAAATTTTTAATTAGTTTTATAAACTACAATAATTTTACTTGTTAATTGTTTTGCATTTAACAAATAATTTTTATCAAATTTAAACTTTTCTTACAAAAATAACGTAAACTTGTGATTTAGGGGAAAAAACGAATAAGGCGTGGTTCACATATTACGTTCACACTTTTTAAAAAATCTAGACCCCTTCCCTCCCCTATGTTCGCATGTAACCATTTAAAAAAATTACGTTCGCTTATCCATAACCGATACCCCCACCCCCACCACAAGAAATAAGATATTATCTAAATGCGAACGTTCTTAAAGTCTCTACCCCTCCCCTCCCCCTCGTTCGCAAAAGTTCGCTTTTGGCTAACCCCCCTCCCCTCAAGTGCGAACGTAATATGTGAACCACGCCTAATCATATTTCATTTACCTTATAATAATAATGTGTTATTCAAGTAATTAAATTAATAAATAATATTAAATAGTAGTCTATCAATAAAATAATAAAGTTTCATAATTTCATTTTTCAATTCAATTATGAATACAATGATAGCAATGGCCAGTAGTAGTAGATATGGACCGATAGCCACACGCATACTATCCAATGATTGGGGATCGGTATCATAGGGATCGGTAGTATCGAATTATATTTCTATATCAACTATATTATTTATTATATAAATCATATAAGCATTAAGCCAGGCAAAAAAGTGTCCAGTTTCATAGATATCGACAATACTATTATTTAAAAAAAAAATAAAATTTAACAAAAAAAACGTAATTTAGTTACTTGCTTGATAATGGATATAGTTACGGCTTAAATTATGATAATAATTTCTATCCATTATAAATGGTAATGCACTTTAGAGAGAGAGAGAGAGAGAATTTAAATATTAAATAAAAGTTATATATAAAAAATTTTATAACATCATAAATACTACTAATTATTAACTAAAACTATCAAAAAACAAAATAATTATTGAAATCTAAAAAAAATAAATATTATTTACTAAAATAATTTACCCAAATTTGGTTCGTTTAGTTAATTCATATATAATGTAAAAATGATGTCCACATAGATATTTAAAATCACTATCGATTGTCTAAATAAAATTTTTATTATTTTATTTTTTTAAATGTTAAATTTTATTAATATATATATATATATATATATATATATATATATATAAAAGTAATAGTAAATAAAAATAATAAATATGTTTAAATACACAAAAAAATTAAATATATATATATTACAAATATTTCGCTGGTAAATGTAAAATTTCCCAATTGACCATGATCAAATTATATATCAAATGTAGTCGGCTCAGTTTGTTCAGCTATTGACAAATCACATCGAAAATTTGGGGCAATTTTTGTATACATTTTTACTATTATATTATGAATCTATGGCTTAATTTATTATAGGCTTATTAAATTTTTTAAATATTAATAAAATTAACTAAATAGATATTAGATATTATTTATTATCCTTAAAAAAATATAATATTAAGCAACTATATATTACTTTTTTACTGTAAACTTATAAAACATTTATATAAAAGTTTCAGTGATATTACTGATTCAGTGTATTAAAAATCAATATATAAAACTGATATATATATTTATTGTATTATATTTTATATTTATATATTATCTTATGAGATACTCGTTGGTACAACATTAATAAACTTAGCAATATATATATATATATATTTATTTATTTAATAAATAACTAAAACACAAAAACAAAAAATATGTTTATGCTATTGATATTTATTATTATAAAAAATTAATTTATCTGTATGATATATATGATATTTATTAAGTCTAATAACTATGATAAACATATACAACAACAATAACAAAAATATATTGATTTTATTAATAAATTTGTAGATTTTTTTGTTGTTGTAAATAAGTTATTTTTAATATATTATTGCAACAAAGTTAATTAAATTAATTACTAATTATTATTTTTTTGACTAATTGCTTACAATTATAACATAATAATTAAAATATATATATAATTAATTAAATTTATAAATTGTAATTATTTATGAAATAAATAAAAATTAAAAAAAAAGACAACAACAAAAAATAATGTATTATTTATAGTAAAAATAAAATAAAGTAATTATTTTTTTAGAATATTTCAATTTATATCACTGTTTAACTAAAATATTATTTTATTTACTATATATTTATTACATTTATTATTTATAAATTAAAACCTATCATATACTGTATATCTATAAATTAAATGATTTACAGTATATATATATATTAATTAAATTAATTTTATTGTCTATTACTTCTAATCTAAAAATTTTTAATAATAATAAATTGTTTATATTGTTTTGTATTTTCAAAATATAAGTAAATAATTAGGAATAATAATTAAATAATTAATAATTTATTTTCTATACATTGTTTTAATCAAATCTTTATTATATGTTAGCAAATTATATTAAATTATTTTTAATATAGTAAATTAGATTTATAAATAAATAATTAGTATAAGATACAATTGCTATATATATTTATAATTAATATTAGAAAACATATGTGTTTTTTTGTAATAATGTTTTCAATAATAATAATAAATTAAATCATTTATTTCTAATTCAATACAGTTAATAAACAGCAAAAAAATAGAAAAATAATTATATTTTATTTTTATTAGTATTTTATTTGGAAAATTATACAATTTATAATAAGTTATAGTTCATAGATTTATTGTAATTTATAATTATATATTTAATAAAAAATTTTACTAAAATTTAACTAGATAAAAATTTTCAATAATCAATGTATACAAAAATTGAATCCAATTTACTATGCGATATGACTATTGGTAGTCAAACTGAGCCGACAACATTTGATATGCAATTTGATCATGGTCAACTATTGGGCAATTTTACATTTACCAACGATTTATTAGTAATATATATATTTATTTATTTTTTTGATATTTAAACATAATTCTAATATATATTATATTTAATATATTTTAAATCATTATTAAGATTCAAAAAATAAAAATTATAAATAATAATAATAATAAAAATAATAATAATAATAATAATAATAATAATAATAATAATAATAATAATAATAATAATAATAATAATAATAATAATAATAATAATAATAATAATAATAATAATAATAATAATTAAATTTTATTTAAGACATACGATAATGAAATCAAATATCTATGTGGACCTCATTTTCAATTAATATATGAATTAATTAAACGAACAAAATATGGGTAAATTAATTAAAATTAATTATTATTTTTTTATTATAATATTATTGCAATAGATAAATAATTATAGTTTAATTATTAATAATATAATTTATCTGTATACAAAAATATACTATTATTAACTTTTTTTTATTATATAAATTGAATTTTCATTTTTTTTAAAAATGGAAAACCTTAAACT